AAAAGATTTCTAGTTTTCTGCTCAACTAAAACCTTATATCTCATACTCCTGAAAATTTCCCCCTTGTGCTGGAGCCTTTACCTGTATATTTTTCTATCAAAGAGTGAAAACTGACCTAGAAAAATTTGTTTGATGAACAATTAAAATACCACTTGGTTGGGCTTTAAAATGAGGAGATCTCCCACCCCATCGCCTTTACTAAAACAAAACCCTATTATGCAACCAAAAATTTTATCAGTGGGGACTCATCAGTAATGAAAGGACACAAATATTTTACAGATGGAAAAATCTATAACTAAACAGGACCTGCATTTTATCGTTCAACAGAACAAACCCTTCTGCCTATGCACACATTTTCGTAATGATCAGGACAGAGTAGAAGAGCACTCAGCCCAGAACGGACAGAGAAGTTGAGAAGAGAAAACAAAGGAAAAAAATTCAAACCCCACAACAAATGGGAAACAATTGTAAATGAATATTACAGTGACTTACCGAGGACTGTCAGCTGGGTTCCGCCGCCGAAGACATATACACAGTGACACATAGCTGTGCAAAAATATCCGGGCAGCTTCTTGCTTCTGCTTTGTGGTTTTGGCATGCCATCAGTGGATGAATTAAATGGGAAGACTGATTGGCCAGAATGTTGTACTTTGGGGAAAGAGAAACAGATTTTGTTGCTTTGAAGATACTTATGTGATACAGGGAAACACCTAGATAAGAGTTCAGTGGGAGTGTAATTGTGGAATCAGTTTCTCTTCCAAGGGATAAGCCGCTGAAGATCTTGCCCTAAATAAAATGCTATGCCCAAAGAATGGACTCTCATTGTCTGACTTTAGGGCTTTTCTAGTTAGATTTGTTTGTGTTTGAGCCTCTTGGCCTGTCTTCTGCAACAATTCTTCCTTTCTGGATCTTTTTTCCTCCTCATTTTGGCAGAATGGGTCACTGAGCCCAGCATAGTTTCCATTTCTGTGATTTTGGCTTTTCTGCAGTGCCCAGCAACATGGCACTGGGCACTGTGTAAATACAAGTAGCATAATGCTAATGGTGCTGGTGTACAGAAATGTACGGTATCCATAGAACTAACCAGCTCACAAAAATAGCAGAATTTCAGCCAGCCAGTTTCACACAGTGCCTTTTGGCCTGAAGTCCAGGGACCTCCAGGCAACTGCAGAACAGAAATTGGAGAGCCAATCAATAGGGGGTTGGGAGGAAAGGAAGCCTGGGACTGTGTGTGTGTGTGTGTAGGGTCTTTCTGATATGAAGTTGTCCACAGATTGGATAAGCTGGGGAACCAAAAGGCATGATGTACAGCTGGGCACAGGAGTATGGCTCACTGATATACATCATACTGGAGCCAATTATACAGATTGGAAGAATGTCTATATGATCATTTCCAATCTCTAAAATGCCGCTCAGGGTCAGTTCTAGAAGGGGACAAAGCTCCGAGGTTCACACCTTATGAAGACAGCACCTTATTCACCCCTACCCTCTGCATCCATATCTTGCTCCATATGGCTTGAGCCACCCCACAGACCAAGGCAACTAACTCCACTTCTTGGCTGCAGACTCCCCTACCTTCAGGCTGAGTCAATGTGTATCTGAAATGGTGGAGGAGGTTAGAGGGTCACAGACAGAGAGAAGTGGTCCCTGTAGCAGCTATGGTGCAGCCTCGTTTTGATTTAGGTCAAGACAAATACAAATCCAGAAAAAGGCAATATCAGACTTTAACTCGAGTTTACCTGGTTCCGTGTTCCTGTGTTTCCAGTGAGTGAGCGTATGGCCTGATTCCCAGTGTGTCCCACTGACACAGAAGGCCAGGAGATGAGGCTTCCTGCTCTGAAATCCAGCTTGAGGCCATGAATAAATCCCATTCTGGAAGAACAATGCAGCGACTGAAGGACACTTGCTACTGAAGTATTAGCTGTACCGTCCAGCACTGGAGACCTCTTCAGAACATACACGCTGTCCAGTTTCCCCAGAAGGCCAGGCAGAGATATCCCTGGAAAGCAGCAGGTAGGCAGGTTCTGGGGTGTTTGTTGCGATGTAAGAATTAACATTCTGCCTAGCCCTGGCACCTGGGGCTTGGTCGTTGCTGGGAACCATGGAGTGATCTATGATGGGGGACCCACAATGCATTTCCATGTTTGAGCCGGGATGTGTGGTATCTCAGAGTTTGGGAGGGTCTGGCTTCCTTTCTCATGGTACTGCCCGCTGGTATGTACTACAAGCATCTTCTATGCAAACTCCTGCGTCCCAAGAAAACCACAGACGTCAGAAAGTCCATCCTTCTGTAGGGCTAAGGCATAAAGCAAAATTGACTTCCTTTCTCCACAAGTCTCAAGAGCGGCTTCACATGGACTCTAATTCCCTGTGGGAGCAGGATATGTCCTTCCCTTGCCTGCCCCGGAGGGGATGGACAGGCACCATGCCAGCCATGGACAGAATCCCTTGCTCAACTAGCATCTTCGGGATTCTCATAGCTTTGTCTCTGCCATCTGATTAGGGAGGGAAACATCACTTCTTAGACCCCAGATTCTCAGCCAGTGACATCTGAAAAGCTGATCTCGGTGTGTACCATGCGGCCAGAGACAACTGGAAAGGCGAGCTTGGAGGGGAGGGACCCGCAGCCATGGGCTGGTGGCAAAACAGGAAGGGCTGACTCAGAGTCAGCTTGGGGAGTGACTGCTGATGCCTGAAGACATCTGCACTAGCAGGTCCTCTGGGACAGCTCTGGACAGACTTAAGCTGCCCCAGATTCCCAATTTATGATTTCATTGCTCTTTAGAAGCCCCTCACATCCCCTTTTAAAGTCCCTAATCCCACATTGCACAGGGTGTTCAGTTTACACAGAGCAACACCCCAGCTGATGGGTACTATTTTAAATAGAAGGATTTTAAAATGGTCATCATAATATTTAGACACCTCCATCATTATCTTGGAGATGGAGTAGTAAAAACCTGCAGCGCTATTTGGTGCTGGAAAAATACCAGGTGTTCATCTGAAAAGCTGAACGCTCCAATGCAAAGTTCATGATCCTGCTACTAATAGGCAAACAATGGGGAGTGGGACAGCCTCTGACAGGATGGTTTTATTTCAGTCAAAGTTTGTATCGATCAGCCAGAGCTGAGAACTGTAGGGATGTGCTAACAGTAACAAATTGTTTCATAGCCTGACCCCGAATGGCAGTTTTGCATACCTGAAATTAACTCATAGGCTGGGAAGTGCCAGTTGGTACCAAAAATACATAGCCAATGAAAATCTGCTGTGTGGTTTAATGTGGCAGGACAGTAACCACATGTTGTCAGTAAGTGGTTCTCTGCGGTCAGATTCTGTGGTTACCAACTGACTTGTGGTTATGTGACAGCATTTTTTTTCCATTGATGCACGCTTGGCTTGCACTGAGACACTCTAGTAATGGGGAAACACCTTGTGGGGTTTTGCTAGAGGATGGCAGGGCTGAAGACAAACTGGTCTCTGCCTTGCCCCTGTCCCCATGGTCACCCTCCCCACTCAGGGAGCTATAACCATAGTGCTGCGGGTCAGGACTAAGCTGCCTTGGAGGAGCTGCCTGGTGAAATGGCCAGTGCTATGGCTGAGTCTAGCCAGAGCTATTAATCCCTCAAGTGCATGAGCTACTGTCCTGTCTGTTTGCCTTAAGCCACAGAAAGGTGAAGAACTGGGTTAATTCCTTCCACTACTGCCATTCTGACTGGTGGGATGTTAGCAGGCTAGAGAACTTATTCCCTCCTGACCTAGCGTGCCATGCTGCAGCTGAACTGAGTGCTAGCCCAGCTTGAGGCTGTTTTAGACTGGATTCACATTGTTCAGTGGGTTCATTTAGCTTGGGGGAAAACTCACACCCCTGTAAAGCCAAAAGCTGGGGAGAGGGTCTTTACAAACAATCCCATCCCCTTTGCTTTACTCCTTCATAGCTTAGCAGACAGGTCGGGGCAGAGACTCAGCAAAGTTCCCACAGTCTGTAGCCCCCACTTACTTGAACATGAAGCATGGGCATTCCCCCCTGTTCTCTCCACCATCCCATTGTCTGTGGTCAAGGCATCTAGTGACCAGCACAAGCTAATCAGACTTCCATAAACATCAGCTGTTTCCAGTTCTCCATCCTGCCAAGCTCTCCCCACAGACAGGGGCCTGGCCAGTGTCCCAACTCCTAGGCTGTGTTTGGAGGATTAAGTGAAAACTCCATGGAGCTCAGGGCTCGTCATCCTTGACCAGGGTGTCCTTTCACCCAGTGGTTAGCACAGTCTGTGTCAGGGCTAAACTTGCTCTACTGGTGGTTATTAGTAATGTACATTGTGTGGTGAGGGGTATTTACACTTACCACTTCACAATGACCAGGCACATGTGACCTAGAATGAAGGCCAACTGAGCACGGATAGCTTGTCTGCTGAGCGATCAGCCATGGCAAGTGGCCGTGCAGCCTTGCATAGAGTGCTTGGGAAGCTACGCATGCAGCACCTTGTGCTGGGACTGCATCAGGCCACTCCCACTGCAAAACGTAGAGCTGGAGGTAGAGATGTCCAAGAAACAACTAGGGTACTGCAGGAAGTCAGGTGCTGTAGAGGAATAGGTGCTGAGTCAGAACAGAAGCTGGTGTCCACAGCACAGCGTGAGGGGATACGATTGCTGGAAGAAACATCTTTTAGAAGAGACATAAAATTGAGCTCCTGTAATAAACCATGATACGTTGGAAGCGTTTTGGAATCCTCTACGGAACTTCTCACCATTTGGTTCATGGCACTTTCACAAAGTATTAGCCCCAGTGACCTGGCCTGTTTCAGCAAAGCAAGTTACATTCTGCCTGCCTCAGCTTCTCTCGGGAAAGGCTGTATTATTAAGTGCTCCCTGCCCCAAACTCATGTGTAGAGAGGTGGCTGCAGATCATGATGGGTGACCTTTGTATATCATTCTGAGAGGGGCACTGGGAATCTGCCAGGATCAGAGAGGGCTGTTTTAAGGCAAGAGACAGTTGGTTTTGCTCTGGTGCCCTTGGGCAGCCTTGCATGGCAAGATTGGGCAGATTACTGTGCCACGCTTGAGCAGCCTTGCCGAGTATTGGTGACACCATCCCTGCACATGTGCTATGCAGCTGGTAACTAGCAACTCCTCCTGGTCAGTGGTTTATGTGAGAGCTTTGCTGAGTCTCTGACCCTGACCAGTCTGTTGAGTCAGGAAAGAGTAAAGCAAAGGAGGGGAGCATGTACTTGAGCCTCCCATGGGCTCATGTGGCCAACTGGGGTCCCACCTGTGGCCCACACACCTTCTGTCTGTCCCTCTCCCCCATGCAACTCGTGTGCACTGGGATACTGGAGGCCCACTCTTCCCCCCCCCCCCCAGAGCTTGACCAGCCATGAACAGCTGATTCACAGCATTCAAGCTCTGAAAGGGAGGGAGAGGAGCGGGGACAGAGTGCGAATCTGCGGATTTGTGGCACTTCAAAAGTGCTGGGAGGAAAGGGGAGGAGTAGGAAGTGCAGGACTCCAGTGCCCCAGTGCACGAGAGGAGTGTGGAGGAGGGGGACAGACAGGGGGTACGTGGGCCACAGGTGGAATCTCAGTGGGCTGTGGGCTGCAGGTTGCCCACCACTGGATTTCAGCCAGAAAGGGAGCCCCAGGAGTGCCTGAAGGCCTGTCCTCCTCTAGTCTGGTGAACTCCCTTTGTATAGGTGCCAGACCAGGGAGATCTGACTTATACAGTGATGGGCAACCAGAACTAGTGAGTGGCCCTCCTTCATCTCAGTGGGCCACATGATTGCTAGCCCCAGCCAGCGTGCTGCTCGCAGCTGCCTGCTGGCTCCTCTTGCCCCCAGCTGCCAGCCCCTGCTGCTCCTGGCCACTGGCCCTCTTTGGGCTGCCAGTCCCACTCCAACCCCGCTCTGGCTGCTGGCTCACCAATGGGTCTCTGCTCCCAGCCTGATGGCCCTGCAGGCTACCAGCAGGGTTCTCTGCCCTGAGGTCACTGGCCTTCTGGGCTGCCAGCCTGCAAGACTGGATGCACTCCCAGCCATGGCAACCTCCCCCCAAGACTGGAGCTTTCTGGTCTAGTTCTCTGGTTCAGCAATATTCGTGGTCCCACCAGACTACAGATGTCACTGGACCAGAGAGTTCCAGACCAGAAAGGTTCAACTTGTACTTGAGTCTTTTAAGGAGAAGTGAATATAATCAGTTACTCGCTTAACTGTTTCTTAATTAGTGCAGTCATAGCAGCTAATAATGCCATAGTTTTAGACAGTGAGCGTTATACTCTAGATAATGCAAGACAGATGAATGTTTCTTCTCAAGTCATACATAAGTTTGAGTCCATGCAAAGGAAGACAATTCAATTATCCAACAACAGGAACAAGAGATGGATCTAAGCCGTGAAACGCAACAAGCAAATTAATAGTGGGCAAATGTCAGATGCTGACCTATAATCAGTGGTGATACAGTTCAGATAACCAGCAAGACCCAATGCCCAGCGCTAAAGAATGAGTGTCCCTCTGTTAAACCCCAAACAGTGCCAGGAAATTCAGGTCTGGACTCTTTCACATCCCTTGCAGTTCCCTCTCTTCCCATCTTCTTCACACACACAGTTTGCTTTTGCTAAGATTCAGGGCTCGGGTTCAGGCCTCTCTAATGGGAACTCAATTCAAAGGAAAAGAAAAAGGACTGGTCAAGACTTTCAAAAGTGATTAGTGATTTGGGGGGTGTCCAAAGGAGGCTGAACTCCTGCCTGTGAAAATCAGGTTCTTTCCCCGGGTCTCTAGTGGGGCAAATGAAAATGGAGCCTATGCTTGGCCGCTCCCGCCCCCTTTCCCGATGAACACCTTAGCCAGATTATGGCTTCAACTCTGCCCATGTTAACCTTGTTCCCTGGTGCACATCCCCATCTAGTGTCCTTTTGCTGCAGTACCGCCCTGGCATTCCCAAGTCAATACTGAAACCAGACCCTTGCATTTGGAGACACTTCCTGCTTGGGATGAGCCTGAAGATGGCAGCAGAGCCACAGAGATCAAAGCTGAGGAGAATCCAACACTTCCCTCGGAGACTTTGCCAGACACACTATGGCAGGGACAGGGAAAGCAAGACCAGCAGAGGGCAACATGCCCCAACAAATCTCATCTCTACTGGCAGAGGCAGAAACTGTTTTCCAGGGCTAACTGCCCAGCTGAGCATGCTCTGGCAGTGAGCCCTTGCTGCTGCTCCCTAATTTTCCAACTGATGCAAGAATTCAGCTGCCACCCTGGCACCTCACAGGAAGCAAAGTGCTTAGCATTCAGCAGCTCCTCCCTGGCAGAGCCTGACTCCTCGTGCCCTTGGCCTGCTCCAGCTTTGGAAGGGATTGTCCAGGCATTTAGGCCGTTGCACAAGGATAAGGAGTGACACAAAGGTAGAGCAGCCACCCTCTCCCAGGTTTCGTGCAGTTGACCCTCTGAGTGATGCCTGAAAGTAGGAATAAGAGATCCTCCGGAAAAGGGCTTTATTCCGGAAGATCGCGCCAGTCTAGACGCTTTTTTCCGGCTTTTCCCCAAGCCGGAAAAAAAGCGGCGGCCATGTTTATTTAAATCCGCGGGGGATATTTAAATCCTTACCTGCTTACATCCTTAAATGACTTACCTGCTTTGCATGTCTTTTCCGGAATTTTGGGCCAGTGTAGATGTAGCCAATGTGTTTTGGTCACTGACGCCTCATAGCACCTCGTAGTTCTTGTGTATGAGACAGACACTCAGTAATGGCATTAACTGTACTGGGCTGGTGATGTGTCATGTGGAACATGCACAGAACCCACCGCAGAGGCTCCCTGGCTGTTCTGAATGTGGATCTGTGCCTAGATGTGCGCCATTAGTAACAAACATGGGTCTCAGGAGCCATTGCCCCCTGGTTTCAATCTCTGCAACTTGCATGACTCTGTTCTGTGTAATCATCATCCCGGGTCAGCAGGGGAGGCCAGTGGCTTCAGGGTGGGGGGTGCAGTGCAATAAAGCAGCAGCCTGCAGCCCAGCGCTGCATAAAGAGGCTTGTAGAACTGATTGTGAAACTGCTAATAATGTTCGCTCTCCCTTCCCCTAATGTCCACTTGTGGGATAGGAGCCTGGCAGGTGCCCACTCTCAGCAGCACTGAGCCTGTCCCAGCAAGAAGGGGTAGAGTAGCGGACAATTCGGGGGGTATGTCTACACTACCACCCTAGTTCGAACTAGGGTGGTAGTGCAGACATACCCTGGCTTAGTACTGATTCCTGGTGGGGGAGGGAGGGAGAGGCATCATTCTTTGTGGGGCCTTGTTTGGGTTGCGTGGCCAGACTGCATGATCCAGGCCTCAGAAGGGTCATGAACCCAGGCACTGCCTAGGTGAGCTCCATGTTCTCTGGGCGGTGTCTTTGCAGGAGGCATAAGGGATATGTCAAAAAAGGCTTTCTTTCGCAACAGATCCCACTCTACACTGCCCCTTTTTACTGGCAAAGTGCTGAGTCGGCAAAACAATCTGTGCCTAGATGTGCGCCATTAGTAACAAACATGGGTCTCAGGAGCCATTGCCCCCTGGTTTCAATCTCTGCAACTTGCATGACTCTGTTCTGTGTAATCATCATCCCGGGTCAGCAGGGGAGGCCAGTGGCTTCAGGGTGCGAAAGAAAGCCTTTTTTGACATATCCCTTATGCCTCCTGCAAAGACACCGCCCAGAGAACATGGAGCTCACCTAGGCAGTGCCTGGGTTCATGACCCTTCTGAGGCCTGGATCATGCAGTCTGGCCACGCAACCCAAACAAGGCCCCACAAAGAATGATGCCTCTCCCTCCCTCCCCCACCAGGAATCAGACAATTCGGGGGGTATGTCTACACTACCACCCTAGTTCGAACTAGGGTGGTAGTGCAGACATACCCTGGCTTAGTACTGATTCCTGGTGGGGGAGGGAGGGAGAGGCATCATTCTTTGTGGGGCCTTGTTTGGGTTGCGTGGCCAGACTGCATGATCCAGGCCTCAGAAGGGTCATGAACCCAGGCACTGCCTAGGTGAGCTCCATGTTCTCTGGGCGGTGTCTTTGCAGGAGGCATAAGGGATATGTCAAAAAAGGCTTTCTTTCGCAACAGATCCCACTCTACACTGCCCCTTTTTACTGGCAAAGTGCTGAGTCGGCAAAACAAGGCAGCCATTTTTATGCAAATTAGGCACGGGATATTTAAATCCTTGCCTCATTTGCAATGTCAAGCTCCCTAATCTGCATCCTTCTGCCAACAGACAGATGCAGTCTAGACATACCCAGGGAGTTCATCTTGGGTATCCCCACAGAGGTTGGGGTTTTTCTTTCTTTTTGTTCTCTTCTTTTTTCTGTCTCTTCTCCCCTTTAGGCTTCCGGGCATGATAAATACGACATCCCAGGAGTCTCTCAGAAGTAAGACAGTGTGGATAGTGAGACATCAGGTGTTGTGACCTGCACAGCAGGTCCCATGTTTGTCTTCTGCCCACAGAAGAGAAATAACTTCATCTTTATAAAGTGCAAGCTGCTCTCCATATCCAAGGAGGTTAAAGGACCAGAGGCCCAAATATGAACCCTGTGTACCATCAGAGAAGATGAAGACTTTCTGGAGAGAAGGCAGCATTTGATACTCCAGGCACAGGATGCTGAAGAACCTTAAGAGGGCAGTTCACAACAGAGAAGAAAATTGGTAGCATGTGACAGCCAGAAGAAGAAACACTACTCAGGTATCGCAAGTCCAGACAGAGGTAAGTAACCACTTTCAGGCTCTCAGCACTGGTACTACAGTGGAAAACACTTTGGCAGAGACCTCTGAGAGAAGGGATCTGATGGAGACCCCATTGATCAGAAGACATGGGATGTACAGTCCCAGGAATGTGTGGGAGGAGGGTTCCATAGCCACCATTCTTAAGGAAAGTTGAGTGGTGTTGGTCAGGGACTCCCCCTAAGAGGGATAGATCATCTATGTGCCGTCCAGACCAGGATTCTGCAGAAGTGTGCTGCTTATCCTGGAGCTACATGTCACAAGAACATCACAAGAAGCTGGGAAACAAGCAGGAAGAATTAGAAGTCCTGGAACAGCCAAAGAACTATGATTTGATTGGAATAATGGAGTCTTGATGGGACTACTCATATGACTGGAGCACTGTCATGGAAGGGTATGAACTGTTCAGTGGGGATAGGTGGGGGGAAAAGGTGGAGAAATTGTACTGTTTGTAGCAGTGCAGTATGATTGGTCAGAGCTCCACTTTAAAGCCAGAGAAAAGCCTGTGAGAGCTTGAGTTAAGTTTAGAGGTGGGAGTAACAGGGGTGATGTCATGGTTGGCATTTGGTATAGACCACCATATCTGGTGAATGAGATAGACAAGGTTTTTTTCAGACAAATAACAGAAGTTTCCAAATCAGAGCCCCTAGTTCTCATAGGGGACTTTAATCACCCTGACATTTGTTGGGAGATCAATACAGCAGTGCACAGACAATCCAGAAAGCTTTCGGAGAATGTTGAGGACAACTTCCTGGTACAAGTGCCAAAGGATACAACGAGGAGACTTGCACAGCTTGGACTGCTGCACACAAACAGGGAGGGACTAGCACGGGAAGTCGAGCTGGATGACAACCTGGGAAGACATGAACATGAGATGGTTCTGTTCAGGATCTTAACCAAAAAAAGAAAGGAGAGTAGCAAAATATAGACCCTGGACTTCCGAAAAGGTAACTGGCTCTGTGGATATGGGGAAGTCCATGGACAAGATATTACTGGATTTTAGCAAGGCTACTGATGATGGTCTCCCACAGTATTCTTGCAAGTTAAGGAAGTATGGATTGGATAAATGGACTGTAAGGTGGATAGAACTCTGGCTAGATTGTCAGGTTCGATGGGTACTTATCAATGGTCTGATGGCATCTGGGATTAGAAGCTGCTGTGAGGTGGTTTCAGGGGCTGTGGAGTGAACAATATGGCTGGTGGCTGGGTAGTTATGGGGCTGTGAGATGGTGCTGTGAGGGACACACTACTGGGGGAGGGGAGGCTCTGACCCCTCCTGCGCTGCCCCCTGCTCCAGAGACGCACACCCAGAGATGGTGAAGAACACACCACAGATGCTGTGAGCCATGCGGGGGCTGGTGCCCAGCTGGCTCCTGACAGCGTTCAGTGACTGCTCCCTGCTCAAGGCCAGGGTGTGCGCTTGGGGAGGGGGATGTGTCAGCAGAAGGAGGGGGAGAATTTCTGCTCCTCTCCCCTTATTTCCCTCCTGTTGGGTTGGGTTTTGATGAACTCGTGGTGCCCATCCAGCCCCAGCAAGCAGGGTGCCAGTGTGAACAGCCCTGCCCCAGAGAGGCGCAGAGAGGGGAGTGGGGTGCGTGGGGAGGGGGACTCCAACGCACACAGTGCTCTGAGGTCACATGACCATAGTGAAAGCTGGTGGGGGGTGAAAAGCCCCAAAGCCCAGAGACGTCTCCAGCCCAGTGCTGGGCCCCCTGACACTTGTGCACTGCTGGACTCCCAGCGCCAGTGCTGGACAGGGGAGGGCTCCCCCTGCTGGTCAGTGTTGGTGTTGCTCTGGCCAGTCCTTGCCGCCTTTCACAGACGCTTAGACCCTGCTGGCTGACTCCTCCGAACGCTGCCCCCACTGACTGTCCCACTCTGCAGGTGCCACCTCTGCACAGCTGTTTCCAGCCTTCCCGCTGTTCCTGTCAGGGTGTTCTTCTCTGGACTGATCACTCCCCAGCCTGCTCACAGCTGTGGAAGGGATTCCCCCAGCACGTGGGCACTTGCACCTGCCTGGAGAGGAGGGAACCCACCTCCCCCCACCTCATAGGTGTTAGTTTGGCCACCTGTTTCCCTCACAGCAACGTCCCTCTTGTGACACCAGCATCAGCCCTTTGTGAGCCCAGCAGAGGTTTCGCTCTGGCAGGCCGGCTCCCTGGCAGAGGGGCAATCAGTGCTATGGAGTCTGGGTCTAAGCTGAGGAGTTTTATTCCCTGGTTCTTCCAGAAATCTCAGCCCAACATTTTGCCAGGGTGCCAGGACACAACGCTGCTTTCACAAATGACTCTGAGTAGACAACAACTCTCCTGCGGTTCCCCTGGCCTTGTAGAGCCCACACCTGACACAAACACTTCTTCCCAGGCTGAAAATTTGCTCACACTGACTATGAAAAACAGCTTGAGAACAGCTATGACAGTTGGAGGCCAGTAAGCCATCCAGATGTAAAGGGGGATGTTGAAGCTTAACTGAAGCTGCAGCTCCCCCCACTTCCCCTGCTCCCCAGCAGGTGTGACTGCGAAGGAAGAATTGCAGCATTCATGAAAACTCCTGAGAAATAAGTTATGTGGCCCCTTTCCCTCTGCTAGCTATTCCTGGTGGTGCTCAGCCAGGGCTCTGATACATTTACAGTTTGACCCACCCAGCTCCATCGCCTGAGAGAGACTAGGCTAAATGAAGGGCAGAGATGGTTCAGCCTAACCACAGTGATGATAGTTTCAGGAGGCTGTAACTTGTCAGACACGAATCCCTTCCTTTCTCTTCCCTGGCGTCTAGCAGATGAAACATACTCCTCTGCTTTTCCCCTTCACGTCTCTCTATTTTTCTTAGTTGCAATTTATTTTATTTTTTATTATTCTCGGTATGTCAAGCAATGCAATTTATGGTTAGATTTGTTTATATGTCAAGGCCATAAAACCAGACTCTGCCTAGAAACCATGTTGCTTAAGATGTACTTATGACTATACATGTAGCCTATGGAATGAGTGTGAAATGGGAATGAGGACTATCCAATCTAAAGCAGTTTAGGATCTGTAACCTTTTTAAGCAAGCAAAGACCCTGTAAAGTGGATAAATCAACTGATGAGTAGTCAGGAAAATCTCTTTCTCTCAGAGAAGATGTAGTAACTGAGTAGAAACATGGGACCAGCCCAGAGAAAGTTAGGCCTCCTGAAGATTTGAGGCAATCTCACAATGAACCTCATGGTCAAGTCTCCAGGAAGCTGACACCTGGCTTGCACTCCAGGCATCAGCAAAATCAAAAGTAATCTGCCCCACACTTGCAGCCTGCCTCCAAACTGCCAGCATGAATGTGATGTGTGTGTCTGACTATCACCTTACTATTAAGAATCTGTACCAATAAACAACCCCAAAAGCAATACTGCTCCAGCCCACCCTTTATCCTGGTTTGTTCTTCCCTCAAACCACTGAGATGGTGCAACTGGGGAGCTGTAGAGATGACTACACGCAATTCACACCTATTGTCTCTGTTGTTTCAGGCTCTCTGCTCATTCAGGCAGGCTCTGTTACATGCAGATCACAGTGCTCAGGCTTTTATAACATTACCAAGGTGAGAGAGATTTTTCTAAAGATGGGATTCTGACCTCAGCATTGCACCAGGAACCTGGGACGCTTGGCACAGGCCTAGAGAGACAGTGACACCACCTGGCCTTGAGGCCACCTTCCATGTGCAAGGAGGTGAAATTTACTCCATAGACTAACTGTTTGTGTGATGTGTGACAGGGGGCTGGAAGAGAGTCAATTGTGCAAGTTGTTCACTTCCCCTCACAGCCCAGAAGGACAAAGAAGTTTTTGTGCCACTTCCCCATCTGACTGTGTCACTGTGACAAGCATCGTTGTGCCACACAGCACAGTAATAGTCAGCCTCATCCTCCGCCAGGGCCCCAGAAATGGTCAAATAGCCGGTGTTGCTGGATGTGTCCTTGGAACCAGAAAACCGGGCAGGGACCCCGGAGCCCTGGTGTTTGTCAGAATCTGACTTGTATTTCAGCAGGTACCGTGGGGAATTCCCTGGTTTCTGTTGGTACCAGAACATGCTGTAGCCACTGATGCTGGTCCCACTGCTCATGGTGCAGGAGAGTTTCACGGTGTTTCCTGGGGACACTGATGCTGAGGGCGGCTGAGTCACCACATTCTGGGAGCTGGAACCTGGGAAAAATGGTAAAAATCTGTCAAACCCTCCTTGTCCTTCCCCAGCCACCAGTGAGTCAGTTTGTGCCTCGGGCTCCAGCAATAACTTCAATGGGTATTTAACCTGCCTTCCCTGTGCTTACCTGTGCAGCACATCCCCAGCAGGACAATGAGGGGAGCCCAGAGCATGGTGAGGAGATCTCAGGCCCTCGGAGCCCTGCCAGACAGGGTGACTGTCCCCTCCAAGAGCTGCCTGCTGGCGTTGGGAGAGACTGGTCGTGCTGACTGTGCTGTAGAGTTCCTGGCCCTTATATCAGTCTTCATGAGTGAGGAGCAGCTAAGCTCCTCCTTTATGCTAATCTCCTAATATCCCATTGAGCCCAAGCATCACCTGAGAGAGTCATGTGACCAGGACAGCCTGCATTGGGTGATGATCTTCTACTTTATAAGGGCTGTTCTCCAGTTCCAGTGACGTTGTTGTTAATGAATTAGCTCGTGTTTCTGCTGTGCTACCAAGACTTAATGTGCTCGAAAGGGTTAACAGCCCAGGGACACATCTCAGAGCCATAGACTCCAAGAGCTGAAGCTAGTTTGGTTTTCTCAGAACAAAGTTAAGGGATGAATTTGTGAGTCCACTTGTACTGACCTAGAGAACAACATTTGCTACTGGGTTCTTCACTGGGGCAGACAAACGAATTACACAGAGGAATGGCTGGCAGGGTTGCATGTACTCGGCCATCTACCTGTGCTGGACAGCCTGTTCCCAGCCGCGCTTTAGACCTACCTACAGGTTCCAAGTCAAGAAGAGACCCCAATGTGATCATCCATCTTGATCTCCATGTAACTCAGGCCTGAGAACGCTTGCAAGTCATTCCTGTTTGAACCAGCACATCTCTTAAAAACAACCCATCTGAAATTAAATAGTGCTAGTGATGGAGAATCCATCATGACCCACAGTAAATTGTACCTTCATCCTCATGTTCACACCATAGTTTCTGTTTGGATTTTCTAGTTTCAACTTCCAGCCATTGGATTCAGCTGGCATCTAGCACTGCACATGCACCTGATGAACCTGGATGTTTCAGGTTTGCAAACAATCCCGGTAGCTGGAAAAGTTCATCAGAGAAAGGGTATGGATCCCTTCTTCCTTATAATTATTCCCATCGTAATCAGAGTGAATTTTCTTATGGGCACCAGTGTGGGTGTGATATGCAACAGGGAGTGATGTGACACAAAAGGATGCGTGACACCGAGAGGCGGCTTGCAACATAGAGTGATGTGTGACACGAAGATGATGAGTAACACAGAGTGATTTGCAGCATGGAGCAATGTGCAACACAGTGGTGATTTGTGACTTGAAGTGATGTTCAAGACAAAGATCTTGTGCAACATGGAGCGATGAGCAACATAGAGGTGTACAACACGGTGTGATGTGTGACACGGAGCCAGGGGCGGACTGGCAATCAAAATAGGAAATGGGTTGAGAACAGCCCACTTTTTCACATTAAAGATTTTTTTTTAAATTTACTCTCTGACCCCCATTAGCTACACCCCTGATCCCTGTTAACCACACCCCCTGACTCCCATTAACCACACCCCCTGACTCCCATTAGCCAGGCCTCTGGAGGTAACACTCTCGAGGCAAGATGGACACATGACCAGAAGTAAAAGGTGTCATGTCACCCTCTTGAAGGGCTTTTCCCCACCATCCTCCTATCAATAGGGATTAGTTAGTTTAGCCCTCACCAAACCGCTCTCATGCAACTATCTTGCAATTGCATTAACCCAATGTGTGTGACATTAACTTGGAGGGGAGGGGGGCAGAGACGCTGGGGAAGTGTTCCCTCTAAGAGTTTCCTCCCATGAGCAGAATGAATTTTGTGTTATGCACCAGTACTGAGTTCAAGTGGCTTGTTTGGATGTGCCACTGTGGCATCCAAGTTATTAATAAATATCTCATAAACCTCTACCTTTTCCTTCTGCTGCCATGTCTCCTCCCCTTGCTCCATCAGCTCCCTTGGTGCCTGCTGCCTCCCAACCCTTCACCTCCCTCTACTGTCCTGACTTCTGCCCTTCTCACTGCCCTCAGCCTTTCTGAGACCTGCCCCCTTCCACCAGCCCTTCTCTCCCCCCTGTGCCCACTCGTCCAGTAACCCCACTCTGCTCATGTGAGCTACCCCTCCTCATCCCAGTTCCTAACACCTCCCTCTACACACCTGCCCTGCCTCTCTCCTCTGGTGCTGGTCCCTCCTCTGCAGGTGTCTGCCCTTCTGCTTCACCCCCAGAATCCCCTGGCACCTGTACCCTCCTGGTGCCTCCCCCTTCCCTTACTGCCCCTGCCCCCTTTGCTCTCTTTTTTCCTGATACTCACCACCCTCTGCCCCCGTTTCCCTCATGCCCCTGTGCCCTTACACATGCCTTGCTCCATCCCCGCCTTCCTCATGCCCACCCCTTCTTTCAAGCCTTCTCCCAGCACCTCTCCCTCCTCCCTCTAGCCCCCAGTGCCCTTACCCTCTCCTCTCCCAGCATCACCCTGTCCCCCTTCTGTTTTGAATATAAGAGGATTGTTTTATGGGAAAAAATAAAAGAACTAGATAGAATAAGTATTATATAAATGGAAGATGCCTAAAGTTCATAACTAAATAGAAAATATAAACAATTTTATTTAATATTTTCATAGGGTAGAAAAAAGTTTGTGGCTTTTGTTCCAGTATATTCATATTCTGCAGACGTAGGTCCTCATCCTCTACCATTCAGGCCAATATAGACTGAGGCCTCTAATATAAACTGTGGGTTGGTACCCAAAGTAGGCACTTGCCGGGCTGGAGCTGGGTGGTGTGGGCACCTCTGGGCCAGGTGGTTTTAAAGTCCTGGGTCATGACGTCACGCCATGCCCGGGCGTCTTCCCTCTCTGCTGTTGCGCAGCTTTTGAGCACATCGTGGGAATTTAGAGTGCAGGGCAGCAGCACCCCTCACAATCCCCCTCTTCCTCCAGCAGCCGCCATCTGGCCCTTTGGCCAGCCCTTTGGAGGATGGCTCACTGGGAAATTTCTGCCCCTGCACGGAGCTCCCATGGAGGGAATAATGGGAAGCTGCGCGGCTGCTGGGGGTATCTTAGAGTGGCTCCCATTGTACTGTCACTGCGTTGGTTACATAGGACTTGTTTTCCTTCGCCCTTGTTTTGCAGGGTCACTGTTGTCGAAGACATTCTTTTATCTCAGTCCAATACCTTTAGCCTCATGGTACCATGATAAACACCCATCCTTTCCCTTGTGTGCTTGATAGCCTGGCATGCTCCGTGCATGCAGAGCACATAGCTGGTCCCAGCAAATGCATATCAGAAATCTGCTCTTTTTTTGAAGTTCTCCTAGGGGCAGAGGCATTCCGGCTCACTGTTGTCGAAGACATTCTTTTATCTCAGTCCAATACCTTTAGCCTCATGGTACCATGATAAACACCCATCCTTTCCCTTGTGTGCTTGATAGCCTGGCATGCTCCGTGCATGCAGAGCACATAGCTGGTCCCAGCAAATGCATATCAGAAATCTGCTCTTTTTTTGAAGTTCTCCTAGGGGCAGAGGCATTCCGGCTTGTGCCATATTACTGAACCATCTTCTGTTGGGGAGAGATGAGGCTTGGACCTACACAGAGCTCACCACATGATCTCTGTAATTCCCTGGGACAAATGGGGCTACAACAATATTGCATGTCCAGGGGCTGTGAATTCTGCCATTCTCAGGGCACCATTAACAGAATGTTTGTCTTGAAGGGTTTCTGGGAGATGAAATATGCAGGTTCCTCTCCACCCCTGAAATGTTAGCCCACCCCCCATCACAAGAAAGAATGTTAAGTGGCCTTCTTTAATGAGGAACTTATAGTCTCACTTCCTCATTGGTCTGTGTCACTGTGAGGCTGATCACTGCTGCTGTCCCACACCTGACAGTAATAATCAGCCTCGTCCTGCGCCTGGACCCCAGTGATGGTTAACGTGGCCGTGTTCCCGGAGTTGGCACCAGAGAATCGGTCAGGGATTCCGGAGGGTCTGTTGCTATCACTATATATCACGAGTAGGGGGGCACTGCCAGGTTTCTGTTGGTACCAGTGCACAGCCTTGCTACCAATGTTGTTCCCTGAGCAGGTGAGTTGAGCGTTTTGCCCTGGAGACACAGACACTGAGGGCGGCTGAGTCAGCACGTACTGGGCCAGAGAACCTGGGAAAAGAGGAGAAAACAGAGGGATCAATTCGCTGTTTCATTGCTGTGCGGAGAGAGAGCTCACTCTGCAGGCAGCCAGCACAGGCAGCTGGGGAAGGGAAAATATTATTGGATTAAAATCTTTTTGGGTTACCACACCTGAGTAGTAGGTGAACAGGGTGAGGAGCAGGGGGGCCCAGGCCATGGTGGATCCAGATGAGCTCGGCTCCCTGAGGCAAACGGGTCTGTGGCTGAGACTCTTTGATTCCCCCTTAAAACAGCTGCACTGGGGAGTGTCCTCTTCAGGCATATCTGTTCATGGCTGATTGGCTGCCCAAGGCCA